TGAACTCTCTGCCTTTTTTACCCCAGTGACCCCCCTGTCCAGTCAGTGTCGCTGTCCAGAGCCAACTGGCATCCATGAGCCCCAAGTTAGGGCAGTAACTAGTAGGGGCAATGCATAACTTGTTGCCCAACATTCCTGCCTTGTATCACACCTGTTGTTTTGTTTTTGTCCTTGAGCAGCAGGCGTGGTTTTGGTCCACTGGCTGGGTATAATCAGCAGAAGGCCTTTGCTGGCTTAAAAGGCATTTGGTTTAGACTTACATGGGGAAGAAGAACCATTTCCCACACAAACAGCATAAAATCACTACTTTAGTCTCGTTGGGAAGGAGTACTCAGTATTCTATATTCAGTAGTAGTCATCAGAAATCACTGGGAGCTGAAGGAAGTACCTGTGCCTTCTCAGTGCTTCCCAGCCATCACACAGTCATTGAGGTGTGTGTTCAGGAGGGAGAAGTGCTGCTTTTCTGTGGGAGAATTCAGAGGGGTCTGAAGTTTAGCTGATGTAACAGAGCAGTATTACTGGACTGGTTGTTTGAACTGTTACAATATACTGCAATGAATGCTTTCGAAATGTAGTGTAGCTCAGGCCACTCCTTCATCTTTAAAATCTTTCCAAAGCCTGAGACAATGGTTAATATCAGCTCCAAGTTAGTATCTAATAGCGAAGTCAGAGGAGAAAACTGATTTTTGTAGTCATCAAAAATGTTAATTCTTGTTGAAATGTTTCTTCTTGAAATTCTAATTTACTCCAATGTGTTAGAGAGGCTTTATATTTTAAAATGTGCTTAGAATATGTCTTAAGAAGTTCAGGTCATATGAATGCATTGTCAAAAGTGGTTTTAAGCCTGTGCTATAGTCCTCTCCTCTTTCTTTACCTGTTTCCCCCCCCCTTCCAACATCCTAACCCTGCAAGGAATTATTTCATTCCACCAAGGAATGAAACAAACAAAAAAAGAAAAACAACCAAGCCACAGCTGGCCAATTTTTAAAAATTAAAAAATTAAACTAACAAATAATTCACTGCAGAAATTTAAATTTCAGTTATGTGATTAACTCAGTTTAATTACATATACTATTGAATTACATTTATTTATGAGGTGTTTAAGCAGCAGAAGCCTTCCATAAAAATAAATCTCATGGCTATTTCTTATATTCATTGACAGATTTCTGGGGAAAAACATGTTTAATTGTTTATTTAGAAATTCTGTGAGTGGTTATTAGTTATTATAAATTATTCAGTGCCTTCATTTTAGTTGGAATAATGCCCTTAATTGACTGATTCTTTTTCTTCAGCTCATGAAAATAATAAAGTTAAGTTAGAGATTGTTAATAGTACTGTTAGTAACAACTTCTAGAAGCAGTATTCTGTTCCAATGATAGAGGAATGGAATTACTTTACTTTTTTGATTGCATTTTTATTTTTAAATATATCTTTAGTATAAATAAACTTCTTAAATTCTTTTACATAACCTGATGATGTTTCTTAAAATCAATTCCTACAGAATTCTCATATTCCTTTGATAACATCACATAACTAAATATGAAAGTATTAACCTGTCCAACACTGAAAAATAACTTTCCCATCAAAAGATGATAATACCTCAGTTCTTAAGAGAGATGATGTCAGTGTAGTTGAGTGTGATACTTGCTCTCCAGTGGTGATCCCTGTACCCCAGGTTACTACATAGTGTGTCTAAGTGAAAGCCCAATGGTGACATCCCCTACTTGGCACCATGTCTGAAAATGGAAGCAGTGCACGTGCAGTGTCTAGCTCTGGGGAACAGTGTCGGGAAGGGGGGGGTGTTAATGTTTTATCTCAAGCAGTTTTTGCATAAGTAACAGGCTGCATTGCCAGAGTCCCACACAAGGAACTGCCTTTCCTGAGTAGTCTCTACCTTTACTGTTGCTGTGACATGTTTTCCCACATTCCCCCGTGCTCCTCCAGGTCTTTACCCATTCATTCTCCAGAATTTAGGTGCTACTTTGTCCTTTGTGTTAGTTTCCGCAATATCTAAACTGTAAAAGGCAATAGAATGTAGTCACCGTAATTCATGAAGCATGTGAAAGAGTTAACTTTGAACAGTAGTTCCAAAACTATCTAGCAGGAGATGAAAAATATTTTTCTCTTCTACTCTGCATATGTGTTAAAATGATCTGTTGGTTTATATTGCTGTGGAATTTAGGACTGGGGGTTTGGTACTTTTCCCTTAGGAATGATTCCCCTACCAGTGATGATTCTGCTTTCTGTCTTCTCAGTATCTCTGGAAAGATAAGTTTGCTCGAAAAGAGAGAGCCCACTGCTACTCCATTTGGGTGTATGTGAAATGAGTAGTTGGGCAATCTGAGTGCTATGGTTAACTTTGAAGGAATGGCTTCACCCAGACCTGGTATTCAAGCTATGAAATCTACCCTCCAAACAGAAGGTGTAAAATTGCCTGAGGTTTAGAATTAATTATTTTAAGTTCTCAGGGGGCTTTTAAAATGTTTAATTTTGTAGGATATGCATGGGGTCTTTGAAGCATACTAATTAATTTTTTTAATCTGTTACACATGGCAAAGATCATTCTTAAAATTAAAAAAAACTGAATAGTCTCTGAAGCTGCTGGATCAGATTTCAGCAAATACAGACAAGGCAGTGTAATTAAGAAGGCTTCCAAATCCTGCAATTCCATATTTTAATCCTGGAAAGGAATATCTGCTTCTGTTAGAAATGTTTGAATGTACTATTTTCTTGGTGTTATCAAGCAACATTGTAGCATAGGATCATTCTTATCTCTGTTGTCTGTGGACTTATACTTTGAGGTTGGTGCTTTGTCTTTAATGAAGGGTTTTTTTTTAAATGTATGTGTAAGTAAATATAAATAATTAATATACCCTGCTGACTGGAGTCCAGTTAAATTTAGCTGGGCTTGTTTAGGTATATACTTCAACATTAATCTAAATAGTACTCATATTCTAGCAACTTTTTATTGCTACTAAATACTTGATAGTATTATGTTTATAAGCAATATTTACTTTTAAAGCAGAAGCTGAGGCGAAATGTGAACTTACTTGAGAAGCTGGTTATGCAGGAGACGTTGTCATGTCTGGTAGTGAACCTCTATCCGGGGAATGAGGGTTATTCACTTATGCTCAGGGGAAAAAATGGTTCAGGTAATACTTTTTTTTATTTATTTAAAATACTCAGAATGCTCTATGAATAGTTAGAATGTGTTGTTGCTTACATTTAACTGTTTCACTTCTACAGTAATCCCTTGTGAAAAACAACTGTTCTTGAACTAAAAATTTACTTACAGATGTGAAATGATCAGCTATTGTCTCTAATGATGCAACGTAAATTAGTAGATAAGAGTATTTTTAATAGCCTTCCATTCTTTTATTTCCTCCTGAAGCTTCCTGAGTTTCTCTTGCTTCAGGTTCCTGCTGTCAAATTGTTTGCATTGCTTCCTAAATCCAGGTCTGACTAACAGGATCTATGATCCAGTTTGACTGCATTTTCACGCCACTGGTACTGTGACTTAGAATGAGCACACAGTGTATCAGTTGGGACCAACCACTTTGTCCCATTGAGCTATAAAGGCATATTGCCTTTTGGCTAAATAAGAGGAAAATCGAGCTCTGGGAACAGAAATGAATGTAAAAAACCAATACTCTTATATATATAAGAAAGACCTATTTGGATAGGTTTGGCAGGCTTGTTTTAGATTTCACATTGTTAAAATTTCAACTTGAAAAGAATACCAATATGTTTTATTTAAATTCAGATTCTGAGACCATTCGGCTACCTTATGAGGAAGGAGAGCTGCTTGAATATCTGGATGCAGAGGAGCTACCACCTATTTTGGTTGACCTTTTAGAAAAATCTCAGGTTTGACAGTTTTGTTTTCAAAACGAGCTTACATTTTGCACCTTACAATAGACTTTGGTGTTTGTTTTTCAGTGCTTAACATAGGTGATTCCAATTGCAAGATATAGTTGTGCATTTGTAACTGTAATATTTAATGTCTCAAATATTTTATTGGTATATGGGAAAAAAGAATTATTGGGGAAGAGGGGTAGAAGAGATATTGCTATATTTAAGGCTGCCAAACAACTTCAACTATGTGCTGTAGCAGAGTATCTTGTGTTCTTTGTCATTATGAAATATTTGTCAGAGGAATTTCGTAACACTAAATTGCTAATGTGTGAAAACACTACATTTGAAGCTTGTATTTTTTTAGGTATAGCTAGGTATGTCAGACCACTGGTCTGAAAAAATTAGTGATTAGTTTTATTCAAAGTATCACTGAATATTATGTGATATACAAAAACCAACTTTTTGGAGGCAGGGGCAGAGGCAGATTGTTAAATACTTGTTTATTTACAAGTTGTTGCTTTTGTTTCAACTAGGTTAATATTTTTCATTGTGGATGTGTCATAGCAGAAATACGTGACTATAGGCAGTCTGGTAACATGAAATCTCCAACATACCAAAGCAAGCACATCCTTTTGCGTCCTACAATGCAGGTAAAAAGTATTTTAAGTCATTGCTCAGTGTTACAGTACTTCCTAGACTGGATAAGAGCTATTACTGTATGTACATTACTTAGTTGAAAGCTGATTACCACTGTGTCTTCTTCCTCAGACTTTAATTTGTGATGTGCACTCTATAACAAGTGACAACCACAAATGGACACAGGTAGGTTAGCAGTTATTTTAAAACTTTACAGTTATGTGGTAACTACATAATACTTTTTAAAAATATTAAACAAATTTAGTGATTTATCCTGTTACAGTAAGTAGAGTCCTACATAACTACAGTTGTAGTGTTATAGTTAGTTACATGCTGAATAACATGGTGTACTCAGCATGCTCATGTGAATTTCAGAGCCACAGTCATGCTCAAATCCATTTCAAGTTACAACCTGAAGTCCCAGGCAGATCATCTTTATGGCACTGATTGCCAGTCCATCAGTATAAATCACTGGCAGAAAATGGACTTCATTGCCACTAGTTACTGTGTTTAAAACAAAGAAAAAGCAGAACATGCGCCCTACTTTTCAGAAGGATTTCTTTTCCTATATGAAACTCCAGCCAAAGCTCTAACTCATACTAATAGTTAGTGATACTTAGCTGTTGAATATTTTCTTTTGTTGACTATCCACACACAATTTTTTTCAGTTTTCTTTAAGATAATGTGCACATATGTATAGATATTTATCAAATTAATTAGTGTAAAAGTCGTCATCTTTTTACATTTATTAATAGCTACATATATTACAGGAAGACAAACTCCTACTTGAGAGCCAACTTATTTTGGCTACAGCAGAGCCCTTGTGTCTTGATCCTTCAATAGCCGTGACCTGTACTACAAACAGACTCCTGTACAACAAGCAGAAGATGAATACTCGCCCCATGAAACGGTAGCTTTCAGTGTGAAATCACTGTATACATAATGTTTGAATTGTTTTGTTGCAGTAGGGAATTTGATTTTGATAGTTTTACAAGCCTCTCTGTCATTTTCCAATAGGTGTTTCAAAAGGTACTCGAGGTCATCTCTGAACAGACAGCAGGAAGTAGCTCACTATTCAACTCCACCTCAGCTCAGACTACTTGACTACTTACAGAAGAGAAAGGAGAGGAAAGGAGCCCAGCAGTATGACCTCAAAATTTCTAAAGCTGGGAATGTAAGTGTTCTGAGACATAGATGGGTATACTTCCAACTATTTAAAACATTTAATTTTTAATACTCCTTTTTCATCCTTCAGTGTGTAGATATGTGGAAACAGAACCCTTGCTACTTGACTGCACCTTCTGAAGTGGATGTAAGTCCAGTTGTTACCATTAGCAATTGTATTGCACATTCTATTGTATGGAGAAATGATTAGAGTATCCAGTATCAAAGAATGACCTTTAAAAAGTGGGAGTGACTTGAATAATTTATTTTTTTTTCTATAATGTAAGCTATAAACACAACTAAACCACTTTGGAATACATTCCAATTGTAACATGATAATTTGGATGAGATAAATAGTACAAACAGACCTTTAGTATTGTTCATCAGTGGGTTCAGTGAGCATGTTTATTTGAAGTTGTCTGGTAACAAAAAATAGAAAAAGGAAATTATGTTAAGATTAGTCACCTCTCAGCTTGGTAGAGGTTCCTTGGTTTTGACATGTTATACTATGGGACATAGTATTTTCAATAGTTTATAGTTTTTTATATGAGAATTCTATTTGGGAGTTCTTCTGATTTCTCAGTATGCATTCTTCTCTCAGGGGCATGCACCTTCCCTGTTTCTGGCACTGCCAAAACACACTGCTAGGATACATAAGGAACTCAGTAGACCAAACAAGAATGTAGCTTGACACTTGATAGTGCTGAAAAGAGTGCATGTTACACATTAAATTGTGCTGCAAGTTTGTACAAACCTCATCTCCGTTTGCACTTCAAAGGTCTTATACTTGACCTAATAGGAGTCTTTAGGAGCTACTGGTATTGTGAAATTTCTTAACCATTCCACATTGGAGGCAGTGATTTCAATCTGTAGTCTTAAGCTGTGTTTCACAATTTTAACATAAGAAATATGGTGTAATAGAATAAATGTAAAGTTCAGAAGGTTCTCCAATTCACCTTTTCTGAATGCATAGCACAAAGGGGGAAGCTATACAAAGTATGAAGCTATCCTTGTCTGTTTCTTGCACTCACTTTTGAAGATTAGCATGTCAGCCACCATTAAAAACAAGAAACTGTGCTAGGTTGACTAACTCTGGCCCAATATGACTATTGTTCTTTCTTTTCTGATACCTTCATTTTCTTTAAGGTGGAAAAATACGCCAAAGTGGAAAAGTCTATCAAGCCTGATGACTCTCAACCAACTGTCTGGCCGGCACATGTGAGTAGTTTAGACCTTTGACCAAACTTCTCTGTCTCTAGTTAAAATGTCTCTTATTTGAATAAAATCTAAGTAATGTGGGAATAATGTTCCCTCCCCAATTTAATGAATCCCCCTTGTGTTATTTAGACACAAAAGATTGTCACAGATACTTGTAGTTCCATAAAGTGCAGCATGCCATGTGGTCAGTCTTGTAATTTCCTCAGTTTTTCCAGCAATACAAGGAAAATCAACTTCAGTCTCCCAAGTAATGTGCCATTGCTTTGTAGTAAAGAAAGCATAATAATTTACAGGCAGCAGTACCCTGCCCAACAAATTGCTTTCTTTACTCAGATACTCAAAGATTGATGGAACAGAGCTTTTGTTAAAATCAAAATGTTAAATTTGGAAAGAGGTTAAGTAATATTAAATACTTCTTTCTGTAATGTTTAAGCTGAACCTTGAGGTTTTTGGCACAAATTACATTATTTGATAAGTAGTAGTAATTTATTATAATTGGCCATAAATAAATCCATAATCTTGCCTCCAAAGTTACCAAGAATTAATCTTTATTAAGAGCATCTACCATGTCTTTGTAGTTTCATATTAGCAAAAAGTAATTCCCATTAACTTAATCTTCATCTCCAGTGTTTTACTTGGAACGGGTTTTTGCATTGTCATAATTACATTAAACTTTTGATGTTACCCAATCTGCCTTTCCATATCCAGCATGATTGTTCAGTGTTTGCAATATTTTTGTATTTTTAAGATACGACTCTTTAGATAACTTCTTAAATCACTTTCATTTTAGTTAATTCACCCCTTCTTACAGTGTTTCTTACTGTGTTTCTTACTATGATGTGTACAGAATTGGCATATTTTACTAGCTATTTGTGTAACTACTTGTTTAAAACTAATTTGATTTTCTTCTCTCTTTTTAGGAAATGAAAGATGATTATGTGTTTGAATGTGAAGTTGGTAATCAGCTTCAAAAAACAAAACTGACCATTTTTCAGTCCCCTGGCAATCCCTTGTACTATGGTAAAATTCAGACACTCAAAGGTGATGAGGAAAGTGACAACCTAGTTACTCCATCACAGTAAGTTACATGTTCTTCTAAACTGTGTTGTGATCTGCTAGATGAAGGAAGATGAATGTTACTTACTTTCAGTTAAGAGAATACTTTAAAACTAGAAACTTGTTTTAAGAGTTTTGTTTGAAAAATTCAGCTAATGAACCTAAAATGTGTTAAACAAAAAACCCCTAAAACAAAATGTGTCCAAGCAACCATCCTATCTTAAATGTACTTCTGTGTTAAATATGCATCTTTTTACATTAAAGATACATTGTGTTTGTTGTTTTTTTTTTTAAAAAAAAAAAGCACAAAAATCCCAGGAACAATTGTAGTGATACCATGAGACTTTGTGAGCAGACTTTTTCAGTGTTACTCATAATTTTGATTGTTAAAATGTGCATGATACTGTGAAAAAAATATTTCATTTTGTTTATCCTATGCGAAGAAATTTAGGCTAAATAAATTATGAAGAAAAACATGAGCTCTTAAGGAGCTCCATCATTTTGAGTTATTTTGAATTTCTTTGAATCTGCTGTCATTGACTGTGGTTCTGCAAAGGTTCTCTATTCTTTTCTGTTTTTGTTGTGTGTACTCAATTCTTTTTAGGAAGGAACTTTTGCAGCAGAATAAACCCTATACATTTCAGTGAGCAAGGAGCTCACTGGAGCAGTGAACCTGAGCAAACTTTGGTTCTGTTCTTGAGAGTTATTTTTATTGTCTAGTATCTTATTCTTATTTTTTATTAAAATCTTCTGGTTTAACCCCAGCTGGCAGCTAAGCACCACACAGCTGCTCACTCACTTTCTCCCAGTGGGATGAAGGAAAGAATCAGAAGGGTAAAAGTGAGAAAACTCATGGGTTGAAATGAAGACAGTGTCATAAATAAAGCAAAAGCTGTGCACAAAATCAAAGCAAAACAAGGAATTCATTCACTACTTCCCATTGGCAGGCAGGTGCTCAACCATCTCCCTGAAAACAGGGCTCCATCACATAACAGTTACTGGGAAAGACAAATGCCATAATTCTGAATGTCTTGTTTTCCCCCTTCTCCTTTCCATGTTCTTCCTCCAGCTTTTATTGCTGAGCATGTTGTTATATGGTATGGAATATCCATTTGGTCAGTTGAGGTCAGCTGTCCTGGTAGTGTCCCCTCCCAACTTGTGTACCCACAGCCTACTCAGTGGTGGGATGGGATGAGAAGCAGAAAAGACCTTGACACTGTGTAAGCATTTCTCAGCAATAACAAAACCATCTCTTTTTATTATTAACACTGTTTTTATCACAAATGCAAAATGCAGCCCCATACTAGCTACTATGAAGAAACTTATCTCTATCCCAGTCAAAGCCAGCAAAAACAGTCAAAACCATAGTAAGCTCAGAATATGTGGAATAGAAGAATGGATAATGAGGTGAATTAAGAATTGGCTACACAATAGAGCCCAAAGAGTGGTGGTCAATGGTGCAGAGTCCAGCTGGAGTCCTCTAACTAGTGGGGTCCCTCAGGGATCAGTGCTGGGTCCAGTCCTGTTCAACATCTTTATCAATGACCTTGATGACAGGACAAAGTGTCTTCTCAGCAAGTTTGCTGATGACACAAAGCTGGGAGGATTGGCTGATTCACCTGAAGGCTGTCCAGCCAGAGTTGGACAGGCTGGAGAGCTGGGCAAAGAGGAACCTAGTGAGGTGCAACTAGAGCAAGTACAGAGTCCTGCACCTGGGAAGGAACAAAAAATTGCACCAGTACAGGCTAGGAGGTGATCTGCTGGAGAGCAGCTCTGTGGAGAAGGACCTTGGAGTCCTGGTAGACAACAAGTTATCCATGGGACAACAATGTTCGCTTGCGGCCAAGAAGGTGAATAATATCTTTGGGTGCATTAGGAGTGTGTCCAGCAGATCAAGGGAGGTTCTCCTCCCCCTCTTCTCAGCCCTGGTGAGACCTCACTTGGAGTACTGTGTCCAGTTCTGGGCTCCCCAGTTCAAGAGGGACTGGGATCTGCTTGAGAGAGTCCAATGGAGGCTACAAGGATAATTAAAAGATTGGAACACCTGCCTGAAGAGACCTGGGGCTTTTCAGTCTAGAGAGGAGAAGACTGAGAGGGGATCTAATTAATGTCTATAAATCCATGAGGGCTGGGCATCAAGAAGGCAGGGACAACCTCTTTTCACTTGTGCCCTGCGATAGGTCTCCTCTGGAGACTTTCAAGACCTGTCTGGATGCCTTTCTGAGTAATCTGCCCTAGTTTTTTTTGTCCTGCTCTGGCAGGGGTGTTGAACTCAATGATATTTGGAAGTCCCTTCCAACGCCAAACATTCTGTGATTCTGTGGTTTAGTACTGATCTTCCTTGAACTACATTGCCACCTTACAGTTCTGTAATAAGGCTGAGCATTAGAGTCCTGTTGTTTGGGTTTTTTTTTAAATCACTGCTCTAGTCCATTGTTTTTAAGACATTACCAGTTGAATTTCATAAAAATTTGGATCCTTCCTCATTAGAGAACTGCATCATATGAAGTAACAGGTGCATAAGACATTTTTGTTCTGCTGAAAATAAAGCAATGTTTTTTTGAGATAGAGAAACACAAAAGGTTTGTAGTGTTTAAAAAAATCACTGAACTAATAAGTTTGTAAGACATAAGTATTAGGCAAAAGATAAATGCTTATTTAGGAGTTTCTGAAAATTGTGAGGAGTCAGAATTTGTATAAGTGAAATCAAACAATGGAAACTAAATTTTGTTAAAATATTACAGGTGGGGCTGTTCTTGACATTCCCACAGGGCACTTTTGTTTATGTTTCAGTGTGAGCATTGATTTATGTGTTGATTTGTAGGTAACTTTTCCCTTAGACTTTTACAGTTGTGATTCTGTAGCAGTTACTTCCATTTTTTGAAAGTATCAGATACAAAGCTTCTGTATTCTGCTTTTTGCTTTGCAGGGAATTTACTCTTAAAGGAGACCATATTAGACCATGTGTGTATATTTTATATATAGCTATGAAGCCAAGTTTTTATTTCAAGTACTAAATAAACTCAGTCCATTAAATGGATGCAGCATCTCTTGTATTTTCAGCAAGCCTGAAAAAACAGCAGCACTGACATTTGTTCAAAGTTTTGTGATTATAAAAACATGTTATTTTAGCCCAATCCATGACTGAAAATGTATTATATATTTTACATTTCAGGTTCCTTATTGGCTCGAAGACTGATGCTGAAAGGTAAATTAATAGAGTGTTTGCAAGCATTTGGCTTGATTTAAAATAACGAATTTTATTCCTTTTAGCCATTAGGACTGCTAATGTAGTTATGGAAAGAGATGCATGTCAGCTGAGGAAAATAGTCTTAGCAAGAAGTGTAGTGTAGTGGGCTATTTCTGTATTTAATAAGCAAGGAGGAATAAAGGAAAGCAAATATGTGAATACAGCTTGTTCCACTACCTAATTTTCAAGCATATTGTTAGTTACTGGCGCAATTCTTGATTACATAGGTAATAATAATACTATTCTGAGAGCACTTAAGAGGTATTTCATCTTAATATTTTGTATGCTAAATTGGCGATCATGGAAACTGTCAATTTGAACTCTTAAGTGTAATCTAGGACTTGTATATATACAACTTATTTTATATGTCATGCATTGCGTGCTTCAGAGACTTTCTTAGAGAAGCAAGTAACAAGGCAGTTTTACAGTATATGTTAGCTGTAGAATGATTATGAGTAAAATTCTAGGATAACTTGAGGCAGCAAAATAAGTATTTCTTCAAGTGTTTGTCAGTGTGCATCACATTAGATACCTGCCTGAGCACAGAACCTTTTGTCTCTGTCAAAGCCAGTTGTGGTTTTGTCTTTATAAAAGATCTCAAGGTACATCCCATAGCTCTTTCAGCCCCCACTCTCTTCTTACATGGTTGGCAGGGGAGAAGAGTGCTTGAGTTGGTAAAAAGTCAGTAATAATGTTCTTTGGTTTAATAGGTAATTTTGATTTAAAAAACTCTTTGCTTAAATTCTCTCCGTTGTGCTGATAGAGACTTCTGATGTTAGTGCTGTCAGCTGAATTGGGGGATTGGTTGGCTGAAAACAAAAACAACAATACTGCAAGAGTTCAGATTTAACTGGGATTGTTTTCCTGATAATATTTGCTGCAGGGTTACACAAATCCTTCAATCAGAATAAGCAGCTGGGTTTTGGGGACAAGGACTAGAAGAAGCAGTAGAGGAGGAGGGAGGGCAGGACCACCATTTTGAGTACATGACATTTTATTACTCCAATTCAACTGTAATTTTAAGGCAGTCTAAAACCTAGTTGCTGAAAAAATTACACTGCATGCTTTCTTCTGCCCTGTATCTTGGGGCCCTTGCTTGTGTCTGCATTAGTTATGTAGCAGCATATTGGATCAGTGGTATGCCAAAATGAAGTGTACTACATTGCATTTAGGTATAAGCTAATAGAAATATTCCAGCAGTTTTTCACTGGGTTTCAGCCTGCCAGACTATTAAGCAACAACAGGTCTTCAGCTTGATTTTCAAGTCACTTTGTATATTCTGCTCATGTTTGTGAAACAGCATTCCCTCAACTTAATTATCTCAAATTAGTAGAGATGTAGTATTTGATTTTGTGGAACAGTATTTTAAACTTGTTTGCCTGATGCTGTGGATGCTTTAAATTCCTGGGTATGTCACTGCTTGTTAGTCTCATAGAGTAAGACCTGGCTATCCTGGTGCTCCAAGTGATCACTTTTGATGTGCTACCTGGGTCACAGCATGGACGTCTTAGTACAGCCTTGCTTTCAGAGTCCTCATTTGACACAGACCTCAAGTTAAAGGAGAACTGCTTGTTCCACAGGGACCATAAGCAGAAGACACAGCTTTGTAAAATATTCTGTACCCGTGTAAAGGGAATGGGATCCCCATTGACTGACATACCAAAGAGTTGCAGTTGTTTTGGGGAAGGGAACTGTTAATCTCGCTTTGCGTATTTCTCCAAAAGAGTGTTTCTTGAACTTGTTTCTTAAACAGAACGTATTTTGCATTAGGAAAAAAAAAGTTATTAAAAGAAAGTTAAAAAAATTAAAAATTGAAGTAAAGAGCCCATGACCACAAAGTAGAAAGTTATATAGAGATACAGATACATTATATATGTACATATCTATTTTATAGAGATATATACTTACCTAATATATACTTAGTTATAAAACAAGTAATATATGACTAGATAATATATATACAATTATGTGTTTATATATATGTATCTACTTTGGAAGTTCAAAGTTGTTAATCTTTTTATGCCCTCACTGTTTGTTTCAGAGTGGTGAACCAGTATCAGGAGTTAGTACAAAATGAAGCTAAATGTCCTGTGAAAATGTTTCATAATTCAGGTGGATCAGTCAATCTTAGTCATCTTTCTCCAGGGAAGGAAATGGAAGTGAGTTTATCAGTCTATACCTTTCTTTTATTTCCACTAGATTATTGAATTATTAGTATAATTTTTGCTATCCACATTTAAAAGTAAGATAACCTAAAAATTTCATTCCAAATACATATTTAATGGGGTTTTTTGTGCTAATCATTCAGACTAAGTATATTTGAAAAGCTAGAGGAGAGCTCTTCTGTTCTCACTGTGTTCAAATGTTGTGTCTTTTAGTCACGTGTTTTGTTTTTTTTTCTTTAAGCCGTGTATGGTATAGTTAGCTCCAAGGTTTTGTTGTATCATTTTCCCCTGTTCAGATGAACCCTTCACACTATAGTAAAATGCAGCTATGCATTTTGTTGAACAGGTCAGTAAACACAGAAACAGATGTAGTAGCTGAACTACTTTTCTTTTACCTTTAGAAATTATTTAAAATATTTTATCTTTAATTTGAAGATGAAAACTTAAAAAACAAAAACCAACAGCAAACCCTTTCAAGTGCATCAGTTTGTATACACATATCCAGTAGAATTTCCTGCATTCCCAAATTTTTATGCCCATTGGCATTGCCATGTTTTACTTGCTGCTTCTTGCTCTCTTCATCAGATTCAATACTCAAGTGGTGAGCTGTATTTAGGCTCCTGCTAGTAAATGAATTTTGCGTCTGTTGGGCTATATCCTTTGCTACATTCTTCCCCTAAATACCTACTTTCAAACTTCAGCAACATTGCTCTGAAAGAGGTATTTCTTGATGGCAGCCAGAAGCAGCAGACAGAGACCAGCAGTTGCAGAAAGGAGTATAAGTGTATCTGCATATGTTTATATGCACACAGACATACCAGGCATGTGTATGTGTGTATATGTATTAAAATTATAGAATAACTTAGGCTGGGGGAATACTTCTGGATGTCAGCTTGTCCAGCTGTCCAAGTCCACACTGAAAGCTGGCAAAGCTAGTTGAGTTACTCTGCCTAGTGATCTACTCCTCTTTTGAATGGATCATTAGTTTTTATTTTCAGAATGAAGAAAGTAGTTTTTAATAGTAGAAGAAAAAGATAATCCTCAGAATTTTCCTCAAAAAATTCTTTCTTATAAGCAAGCAATTAGAAACATGTTGAGGAAGCTGTCAAAAAAAGTTGATTCTGCATAGTTGGTAGCTCATTCACATGTAATTTATTCTCTAGCTCAGAATATTCCATTTGGTATATTGAGCACCTCACTTTCTAGTTTCAGTAGGTTTTGAACTGCATGTTTGCTTTCATTTATCGGTCACCTGCTTTATAGGTAAAAATATATAGACTGTGACTGTAAATACGGTTCACTGTGGAGTCTTTTGACAGTGTCAATTATTGCAAATATGCATTTAGGGTCAGTTGTGAGTGACTGAGAACTACAGACTTGATTAACTCAAGTTAACTTTACAGACAACCCGATAAGTAGGCTATAAAAACAAGCAAAAAGGAGCACCTTTCCTTAAAAAATATTAGTGAAGTTCTGATCCCCTAAAATCAGTGGGAAAATGTGTATTGAATTCTGCACATTCCAAATTTTCTTGCATGTATTTAAATTCCTATTCACAGGATCAGGAAATCTGATTGAGTACTCCAAAATCCATATTGGTTGGAAATGGCAGATATATACAGGTGATGAATAAATTAAATTCTATAATTTTTCCAGTAAGACCAAATTGCCCTTAAAATGCATCTGTCACTCTTGAATTTCCAAAAAAATACTATGAAGGATTTCAGAACTGTAGAGAAAAGTGAAGCTCCTGATTTTTTTTTTTCTTGGTTTAAATTTTACTGACACTTTCAAGCTACTTCTTGATGGTAAGCATTTTAACTTGAGAGTCAGTCAAAGATTATGTTTTTTAAATAGATGGAAATCTGAAATGTTTGAAAGGAATTTTGTAATGGTTTTGAGAAATCTGGTGCGAACTAATTGTGTTGTCTTTTCTGTGAATTATGTGGAAGCTCACATGATTGCTGTGGTGTAGTGTTAATTTCTCTTTCCTCCTAGCAGCCAGAAAGTATATCAGGCTCTGTTCAGTCTTCTGTATTGGGGAAAGGTGTAAAACACCGACCTCCTCCCATCAAATTACCTTCAAGTTCAGGAAGTAGCTCTTCAGGTAATTATTTGTTGACTTGGGCATCTCCTTTTCTGTGTTCTGCTTATTGTAAAATAACATTATATCCCTTTAGTAAAGATTTAATAAAAAAAAAATGTGGTGTCTTATCTGTGAAAAGAGCATAATTTTGTTAATTTCTGATGATAGTGTTCACAAAGTTGTATCCTAGCAAATATCAGCTAACATCTACTCAGAGAACAATAACGTACTTTAATTATGCTTTTTCAGGTAATATTTTTAGTCCACAACAGTCAAGTGGCCATCTAAAATCCCCAACTCCTCCTCCTCCTCCTTCTAAGCCTCCTGGTCTTTCTCGGAAGCAATCTATGGATCTTAATCAAGTTAGCATGCTCTCTTCAGCTGCCATGTCTCCTGCGAGCTCTTCACAAAGTGAGTCCCGACCTAAATTCTCCATTAAATCTTAGGCTTTTGCATAAATGCTTCCTGAGATAAACTCCTTAACCTGTGGAATGATGAACCTTAAGTGTACAGTGTACCCTAAATTGTATAAGTTGTGCAGCTTTAGGCAGGTCTCTTGTTCACTGTATGTATTTTATGTTTATTGTAACTGTGTTTGTTTTTTCTGTATATATGTATGCACCCTTTGTGTATACGTTTTAATACATTTTATGCAATTAGTATGATCGCATTTATGAAAGGCTGGTAGATGATGTGATGAGATAAAATTCCAAAGTGTAGATTTTATTTTTTCCTCCAGTGTAAAAATAGTGTGTTAGATCAGTCTGCCTTTACATAATTTAAGCATCTGGTTTTTTTAAAGTGTTATAGGAGCTGGTGCAGTTGTATCTCTATGTATGTATATAATCTGATCAGTCCCAAGGTGGTGATACAATAAACGATAAGATGATTTTTTGAAACACTCCTGCACTGTTTTACAAATCATTGCTGATTGCAAGTGTGGTGGTGATGCTGCTGCTGATAGCACCATATTCTCAGGTGTTAAAATGTAAATTTACACTGACAAGATCATTGTAATCATAGCTATAGATCATAAACATGCGTCTGGAGGCATTTCATGAACAGATTTATACAAAGAGAATTTGTAGCTGCAGTTTTTTCAGGTTTTTATGAGTAATTGTATACTGCATTCCAGTATCCTGGAATATGATAATATTCTTTTTGCATTAAATAGTTTAAAATCTGGATAGCTCAAAAGGTTTACATTTTTTGCCTTCTTGTTTTGCACAAAGAAAAAAAGAAAACTGATGAAATACATTTACTTTGTTTTTATGTTAGGGCTATTAATGTGTTAATCTGCTGCTCCCAGTTGTTACTTTGAAGGTCTGGTCCCAGCAGCAGGACGTTCATTTTTATTTCTTTGTGCAGGACATGAAAGCTAAAAAAAATAAAACAAAAAAAACCCCAAAAACTGAAAAAAAAACCCCACACTCAATTGTTTTGGGTTTTTGGGGGGGTTTTTTTGCTTTTTTTTTTTTATAAACTGTGCTTACTGCATCCACAACAAATATACATGGTACATTTAAGCAGGAGGAATTACACTTTTAAAGATGCAGTGTTATCCTCTCGTTCTTAAATATTTTATTTGATCAGAAGTTGGCAAATGGGAGCTTAGCTATCTAATGAAATTTATAGCAACCCCATGAGTATTAAAATAGTGTATGTTCTTTGAATCTGTTCTTTTCCATATGTTTTTAACACAATGCTGTTGTGCAGGGAGTGCATATAGACTCTATGGATAACATTTTAGGACAAAAACATTCATTAGGTTAAAACAGTCAGTAAGAAATAATTTTGGTTTTATATAAGTATTTCTGAATGGAGTTATGACTTAATGTGTGATAAATTATGGAAGAACTTAATGGAGAATACAAATCAGTGTACAGTTTTAAGAAATTAAGCAAGGAGAACAGGTTTTCTGTGTGATTATACTGCATCCTTAACAATGAGTGCGTGCTGCAACACTCGTGTCATGTAGAAATTAACACTTGCAGTCTAAAAGTGGAACAAATTGTCACTGCTAAATAAGATTCCATTAACCTTATTAATACAAAAAGGACTGGCCTTTTATAACAAACTGGCACTTTTTATTTTTCTCAATGAGCAGGGTCTGGAACTCCTAAACCATCTACTCCTACTCCAACCAACACCCCTTCATCGACCCCACACCCTCCTGATGCTCAGAGCTCAACTCCTATTACCCCCTCTGCCACCCCTACTCCCCAAGATTCAGGCTTCACCCCTCAGCCCACTTTGTTAACCCCGTTTGCTCAGCAGCAAATGTCTCTGAGCCAGGCACTGCCTGTAATGACCATTCCTCTTTCCACCATGGTAACATCCATTACTACAGGAACAACTTCCACCCAGGTCATGGCAAACCCTGCAGGACTTAACTTCATCAATGTAGTGGGCTCTGTGTGGTAAGTTTTTTGTTATGATGGTTTCTTAATTTGCCCTGGGTGGGTTGGTTGTTGGGGCAGGAGGGTGGGGGTGGCACAGGGCTTTGCAGCATCATTCAGGTTAGATATTTTTCAGGATCTGCAATACAAAAACATCATTTACTTTGTAATTATGAAGTGAAAGGCCACTAGAAACTTTTTGTATTTCTCATCTCTAAGGCACCCACTATAAGAATATTGAAAAGGTCTCTTAAGAAAATTGTGTTTTCAGTGTTTTGGATGCATATAGCAGAATTTCATATGGCTTAACCTTAATTTAAGTGGTTTCTCAAGTTTTGCTCTGTAAGTTTGAAAACTTATTCCACCTCATCTCTGATATATCATACGCAGACCACTCTAAATGAGAAATGGAAAGAGATTTGATATTCAGGTGCCTGTGATTGAAAGGCTGTATGTAAAATACAAGAAAACAGCAAATCTGCTCTCTAACGCTGTAATGAAACATTGAGGTTAAACATTCTTTGATCCTTGAAACTCATTTTGTGGTTAAAAAAAAAAAAATACTGCTGTCAATAATAGATTGTATGGTGTAACATGCACTTCTTTTTAGACTAAATTAAATTCTGTAACAATATATGAGCAGTAAGACACACGGTGTGCTTCAGTGCCAGTATCAGACACTTGCATTACTAATCCAAGGTGTTCAGTAGTTGATCACAGTTGATTAGAGACATCTTTTTATAGTGCAAAAAGAAAACACAAACCTGTTTTTTTGTGAAAGAACAACAGTTTTCAAGTTAGTTGATCTTTCAGCATTTCTGAAATAAAAGAACCACTTGTAGGTTTTTTTTTCTTGTAGATTATACCAAAGAAAAAAAATTACATATGCCAAGAACATGAATATACATATTTGTTATGCCCTAGGCATAACGATTTTTTAAGCTGCCTTGATGCTTTATCCATAATCCCATTTATAACAAAGAATTTGTTTACTTGTCATGAGACAGAGGGCAAAAATTCAGTTACTCAGATTTGCGTGTACCACTTGGGTTTGATTTGTTGTCTTTCCTCTTCTACAGTGGAGCACAGACACTGATGAGTGGTTCAAACCCAATGCTGGGGTGCAACGCTGGTGCCATAGCCCCTGCAGGTATAAATCTGAGTGGCATTTTACCATCAGGAGGGCTGGTATCAGGGGCGCTGCCCGCTGCAATGCAGTCTGCCTCTCAAGCAGGTTAGTGTGAACAAGTTGAAAAGCCACCCTGCTGATAGGGACAGTGTGAGAACATACCATGAGAACAATGGACAAAAGTGGCCATTGTATGAATAGGCTGTGTATTTGATGGCTGGAGCTCGGGAACATATTTTTGCATTGAAAGAGTAGGCTATGTTTGTGGTGGTTTGAAATTTATTTTGGGGAGCTAGATCAGGGAAACATACTCTAAATGTGGATTGTTTGGCATGCTCAGTTGGAAGTTTGAGTGAAACTCCAAATTCAGATGTAGTGTTGCTAATAGGGACTGCCAGGGGAAAAAAAAACCCAACAAAAAAACCATGACTGAACTTAGAAAGAGGGGTTGCTTTTTAAACGTGTGGGTCATTTTATTGTATTACTGGTACTGCTTCAGTCTATTAAGACAATTAATTAGTTCCTTCTCTCCTTCAAATATGATTATAAATCTCTATGCCTCAATGTTCACAGCACTTAAATTCTTCGTTTATTTTTTCAGAAAAAATAATAAAGACCAAAAAAACCCTAATGTATAATTATGGAATTAGAAGTATAGAAGAAACTTAAAGATTCCCATCCCTTACTCTGAGGCAGAGTCCAATCTGTCTAAACCATTCTGAACCAATGCTTATCTAAACTGGTTTTAAATACCTTCACCAAAGAAGATTCCAGTCTCCCTTGATAGCTGTTTAGAGTGGTTCATTAACCATACAAAATGTTTCCTTCTAATTACATTGCATCTTCTTAATTGCTATTAATTTTTTTTTTCTCCTGTTCCTTGCAGACATGAAAAATAGTTGTTCACCCTTTCTCTTTGCCTTCTAAGTATCAAACATGCTGTCATGTCCCACATTTGTCTTCTCTTTCTGATAGGTTGTTTTTTTCAAACCTTTCATAATCCTGTCACTCTCTTCTAGACTGTCCAATTTGCTTACATCCTTCTTAAAATGTGATAACCAAAACTGGACACAAGCCTGAGCTTGGCTGATTTACCACAATGGAGCACAGCAGAATAAATGCATCTCATCTCTTTCACAACATTCCTGTTAACATTTCCCCAAATGAGGTCTGCCTATTTTTTATTTGTATTTTTCACAACAGCATTACAATAACATAAGAATGGCTTTATTCGTTTAGGCCAAAAATCCATCCGGTTTATATTCTGTCTCTGGCAGTTGCCATTAGAGGATACTTAGGAGAGAGTTTCAGATGAGGCAAAAGTGTGAAGTGAAACATCTGTTGTATACAACTGTACCTCTTCTGGCATTCTACAGCTTTGAGACTTTCTCAGCTGAAGACTATCCACGTGGATCTGTGCTTAATATCCTGTGCTAGACTTCTAGTCTGTGGATTTATCTAATTGGTTTTTGAACCCATTTATATTTTTGGCATCTACGGCATCTTGTGACAGTGAGTTTTATAAATGTAAACTGTGTGAAGAGGTTATTTTCTTTTGTGTGTTCTATAGTTTGTGATTTGGATGATTTGGATGTTTGTGACTTGCTGTAACTTCGCACGTCCTTCCTTGCTGTGTAGACACAAAGCTAGTTAAAATTTTGTACTTGTTCATTTGTCTTTTTTTTTTATTCAATGTTACTGATTTTTGAACCCTTTCTTCAGTTCCTTAGGATCACTTCTAATTCTAAATCTGTCCTTTCAAGCACAATCAAACTTGACCAGTTTGTTGTCACAGTTTTTACATGCTACTCTGTTGCCCACATAACAGATGGGAGTAGTGAGTGGAGCCAGGCTGGTGGCAGACCTCTGGGGATTCTGTCTGACAGTTGCTGTTCTACTGGAGTTTTGTTGCGGTTCTATACCTAACTCATAGCATACTATGTATACATCTTTATATTAGTATAGCTTTGGAGAGCGCCATGTAGAGTAATGCCAAAAGCTCTGCAAGTCAGTTAGATCTTGCCAGAAGCACTTGGGGTGCTGGGAGCAGAGATTATGGGTGGGACTGTTTTATGGTAATGATTGAGAAACTGAGAGCCTGTTACTTCATTTGAGCCCTTAGACATTTCTGGATTTACTGTACAAACAGTAACACTTTTTAAAGCCAGAAGAATAACTGAAGAGTAACTGCTGTGGTATTCTCCACATTCACCTTTGTGTAAGTGCATTAGCAGGTTCTAGGTTACGGGGTATGGTGTTCAGCAGCTATAAGTTTGCTTCCCATTTAGTCAGTTCTCTTTAACTATGATAACTGTGAACTTGTCAAGATTAGGGGAAATGCGGCATTATATTATGTACAAAATTGAAATTTGCCAGTTTTCCAGCTTCCAAAAGTTTAGAAAAGATCCCAGTGGAAAGATGCATCGATTGCAATACACATATATAGTTAAGTAAAGATTTCCTACTAATAAAAAGATGTTTTCTTTAACAGGCAGCCCCTTTGGTTTGAAAAATGCATCAAATCTTCGGCCCTTAAATCTTCTGCAGGTAAATAATATACTTGGACACAATAATAATTATTATAATTTTCTTTAGCAACATGTATAGTGCTGCTTACTGCATTGCCCCCCACAGATCTTTGAAGCCAGTTTATAAAACCATTTACTGCAAGTTGTAATTGCTTGTTTAAAACACTTAGAAGAAGAGAAATCATAGAATCTGAGGGGCTGGAAGGGACCTCGAAAGATCATCTATTCCAACCCCCCTGCCAGAGCAGGGTCACCTAGAGTACATCACACAGGAATGCATCCAGGTGGGTTTTGAATGTCTCCAGTGAAGGAGACTCCACAACAAGAAAAAAAGCTACTTCCATAAAGAATCCAGGTAGAAATTATGTTCTTAACTCACAACAGAGCAGCTTGTTCTCAGTAACAATCTAAAAATGCTGACATTTGAATTCAAGAGATTAATCTGAAAATGCAATCTTCTATTTATAGGATTTGTCTAAGCTTTTATTGCAAATCATTCTTTAAACTGAACTTACTATTTTAAAAATACAAATCAGTACATTACAATCACTCAGGGGTTACATACATAAGACCAAAAAGCTGAGCTGAACATACACAGGTAGGTGCAGTAATAGCTTTACAGACCTCCTGGTAATGGAAGTAGAAGTTCATTTAAGATAGGGAGTTTAAAAGGTCTATAAACGTCTTCTTTCCACTGAGGATACATACAACTACAAACATGAGCAAAGGTTGCATGTTATGTCAGGGCTCCAGTTAAAAGTAGAAGAGGAATTGTTTGTAGAATCGAGTGTAGTTCCTGGATCTTGAAGTCAGCTGAAGTTACAGGGGCAAAAGTGTGGCTTCAGTGGTTGTGGAGTCATAGAATGGCTTGGGTTGGAAGGGACCTTAAAGACCATCTAGTTCCAACCTCCCTGCATGGGCAGGGACACCTCCCACTACGCCAGGTTGCTCAGAGCCCCATCCAGCCTGACCTCAAACACTTCCAGGAATGGGGCATCCGCAGCTTCTCTGGGCAACTTGGGCCAGTATCTCACCACCCTTGCACTAAAGAATTTCTTCCTAATATCCAACCTAAATCTACCCTCTTACAGTTTTAAACCATTCTACCATTTTGGCTTCTGTTCAGCTTTTCATCAACCAGCACCTCCAAGTCCTTTTTGTCACAGCTCTTCTCAATCCATTTTCTACCCAGCCTGTAATTGTACTTAGAATTGCCCTGACCCATGTGCAGGACCTTGCACATGGCTTTACTGAACTTGATGAGGTTGGCATGGGCCCACCTCTCAAGCCTGTCAACGTCCCTCTGAGTGGCTTCCCTTCCCTCCAGTGTGTTGACTGCACCAGACAGCTTGGTGTGTCGTCTGCAAACTTGCAGTCAATTCCACTGTTTGTGTCCTCAACAATATGTAAAACAGATGTCAAAACAGATATTAAAATGTTGCACATGCTTCAAAGAGTTAATACCAGTAAAAGATGAGCTATAGCTCTGCTACTTCTTTCTCACACTGCTGTACACACTCCAGAAACATGGAAAAGAGCAGGCACAGGAGACAGTTAACGCTAGAGTGGAGCTCTTTTGTAAAATTCAGTGCTTCTGTTTGTATGATTTCATGCTGAAGTACATCCTTTCAAGCTGCCTCTGCCACTTGTATAAGCCAAGAATAATTTGGCTGAAATTGGTGCAGTTAAAGCTGGGATAAAGGAGAGGAGTCAAGACAATTACACTTTAACATTTTTTTGCATTGGACCTAGCAGCTTGTTGACTGGAAGCATCTATTAAAATTCAGAATATTCTGAAAGTAGAAATACTAAACAGTTCTTTTGAAGACCAGCCTTTACATTCCCGGTATCAGTACAATCTCTACTATTTTAGTTAGAATGATAAAAATGTATTTTTCCTGTGGAAATATCTCACTCTAATGCAAATTTGTTTTCTGAGCATAAGGCTTTTTCACAAACAGCAATTGTAAACTGACTAATTTTAAAGGATTTTACAAAACCAAACTAATGCAAAAGCAAACTTCCAAGGAGTGAGTCATTACCAATATGATGTTCATCCTAGGACAACAGGAAACTCAGCAGTTCAATTGAATTATGCCTTCTGTTTGAAGATTAACTTCAGCAGCTTCCAAGTGGTTCACTTATTTTTAACCCACAACAGCAGCAGAATCTAACAATTTTCTCTACAGCAACAGTCCCAGCAGCCTACAACCTGTAGTCATCAGCAACAGGGAGAAGAGGTGTGTGCTAACAGCCCTCAGTCTGGGTGCATGGATGAAACAGTTCCTCCTCTTCTCCCCATCTCCACAAGCAGATGAGCCCTTTACACAATAGATCTGAAGTGGAGGTGGGGGAAAGTCTTCCTTCAAACCTTCTCAAACTGCAAAGACTGCAGTGGCTTAGCTGCTGTGGCTGGAGCTGGGTGATACTCCTTTGTTTACATCCTGTATAGAAGAGCTGTAACAAAACAACTGTCTAAGCATTGTCTTACTCTAGCATGAAGAGAGCCAGCCTGCTGACCAAGTGGTGTAACATCAGCTTAGCGTTGTCCCGCTTATCATAACTAGCAGATGCATCACATGAGGATTTACGAGAGTAACAGAAGCTTCCTACTTAGACTGCTGAGACCTGGCATAGGATTATCATTCCTGTAGTTCAACAGAATTGTTCTCGTACCAAAAAAAGTATCAGTTGTCTTTAAAGTTGTAGTCTTAAGACACTTGCTCTTCTGCTGCCTGGAATTGTGTTCAAGGCTTTAATCACTGAGGTTGTCTAAAGTCTTTATATACCAATCTGCCTGTCCTCAAAATGACAGATTTTGAGTGGTTTGTTTTTCCTATGCCTAAAAATCTTAACAAGCACTAATGCAGCAATGTCAGAAAACCAGCTGCCCAGCTTTTGTGTTCTTTATCTTCCCAGACATGCAAGGTCTCTGTTTACCAAATAGTCTCTGCTGGATACTTAGTTTGTCATAATAATTTTTGCTTGTGCTACTGGAGAATGTTTTAATGGTGTACAATCTCCTGTGTCACAGGCCTTGTTCTGGAATGTAGAACAATTTAATGGGAGACTTTCAGATTTATTCTCAGAATCCAAATGTCAGTTCCTTGTTGAATTACTGAAAAAAAAAATCATCAAGCAAACTTGTTCTATTGGGTTTTATTTTCTAGACATTGAACTTTAAGGGCATTTACAAAATGGCTGATGTAAGCCTAGTCTTTGTTGGGGCAAAAGGTTCTTCTGGAGGAAGTAAATCTCTCTGCCTTGCCTAACTTGCCCTAAGGAACTTCTCTTATCACATATTACAGTGTAAGACTAAGGTCATTAGCTAAAATGAGCTATTCTGAATACCCAATTCCTTACCTTTCACTGAGGACAAGAATGTATGTGTTTGCAGTGTTGTAAACCAAGTGCTTAGTGGGGAAAAAACTATCCCACCCAAAAAAAGACCAACGATTTTATGTGCTGCCAGCAGAATAAATATGTGCTCATCTCATACTTAGGGTTTATCCCCACATGTTGGTTCTATGACTTTGTGAGTCTGTCTTAGTTGTCTTCAGCAAGATCATTATGTCATCCTAACGTGTTCTCTTTTGGTCAAGTTACTTGGATCTTGGTGGCACTATTTCATATGGTTATTCTAAAGAAGCACTGAAACTTCTGGAAGTGCACCAGCTCGAAAGGGTTTTTTTTCCCTGACTGATAAGCCATGCAGCTTGCTTGAATTGCATATATAATACTTTCATTTCCCCACTTTATGAATCAATGCATAATTTAAGTTCTAAAAAAGGTAATAAATTCAGTACTCTCTGACTTCAGTAGTCACTAGATCAGACTCCACTAATTCCATTTGAGTTACTAATGCGAGATCTACTCTGTTCTGAAAATAAAATTTTTAAAGGAGGGTTTGTATTTTTTATGCAGTTGAGAAGTGTGTGGCACAATATGAACATGTGAATGTAAGTTTTGGACTTTTCACATTTGGATTGATTAGGACCTTTGCACATGGATGGTTTCACGTGTCACCTGAAGACTTTGGGGTTGGGAGAGGGACAGGAAATGTCCTAAAGTAACAACCATAAGATGTAGACTCTGATGACTGCAGGGAAGTTGACAACAACAAGCATAATACCCTTTCTGCCAAAACAGAGCTGTTCTGGGGCATTCACCATCAACGTTGTTCTACTTACCAGTGACTACACTATATAGCCTGTGTCTACATGCACTGGAAGATACAGAATTAAATGTTTTTAAATGGCACTTCAGAAGTTTGCCTTCACTCTGGCTTTATTTACTTATTCATTGATACCAAAGTTTGGTAGTAAGGATCAAGCTTTTCATTTTTGCTAGGGGTCTGACCAAGGTCCATCCAATCAAGATCAGGCATTATCTGCCCAACAAGCTGCCGTAATTAACCTGACTGGAGTAGGGAATTTTATGCAACCTCAAGCAACAGGTATGTGCTTGCTGAGTCTCCTTTTGTAGTGAAGTGTGTACCTTGTTAAATTCACGCTGAAATGAAGTTTGGTCTTAAAGAATCCTTATGTTAGATCAGAATAATTTGCTATTTATTATCAGCACATGAATTACACAAGAAATCCTGGACTTTCAAAGCATGCACTTTTTCTGCTTTGCTTGGCAGTTAAGTGTAGTAAATTGGTACAACCACATGAAAATTAGTTACACTTAATGCAAAAAGAAAATACAGGGAATTTCCATGCCAAACTTCATTAAGGAATGTTTAACTGTGTGCTAAACATCTAGTATGAGAAACCTCTTTGTGTCTCCACAAGCACGTCATAATCTAATTATGTTCTAACTAACAAAGTATGTATATCATGTAGACTTTATTCTGCGCTGTTCCCAATTTGATTCTGAAACTAATTCTGTCGATCCCCCTTTTCTGTTACTCTATTCCTTTGCCTTCCTTCCCCAACCCTGACAAACTCGACCTGACCTCTTTGACCTGCCTGCTTTCCCCTTCTCCTCTTAGTGTTGTCTCAGCTTGGCTCTGCTGTGAACAGACCTGGGCAAAGCCTTCCTCAGCAGAGACTCCAGCTCTCTTCTGCCTTACAACAGCAACAGCAACAAGCCTTGCAGCAGCAGCAGCAACAGATACAAGTAATCCAGCAACTTCACTCTGACTGTGTTTAAAAAATAAAATTTTAAAAATTTAAAAGTAGAATTCTTGGCTCCAAAACCAAAAATCTTGCCCTTTGACTTTTTTTTAAAAAAATAACATCTTTACGGTCTCACAAATAAAAAAGCCTTTAATTTTGGCAAACTATATCATGAAACATTTGGAATCTGTGGTTTTCACAGCTTGGAGCACTGAATTTATTTTTATTTATTTAAGCCATCCACCTTCCTGATTTGCTAACATTCAAGGAGTGCTTGTGGCACATACCTAAATAAGCTCTGCCAGGTGCCAGTAGATTTCAAAACAGCATAAATGTAAGCATCTGTAAGTTCAGATATAGCACTGCTACAGTTAGTACATGGCAGCAACAGCTCTGGCAAAGCATTCCTTTAGCTTTCAGTCATTCAGATGCTTTTTGAAAATACTTTAATTTTTTTTCAGCACACAGTCTCCTCTCTGATACATACAGAAAATACACACAGGTGCACACACTGAAAAGGTATTGTTCGAAATGTACCCCATAACCCAAACATTCACTGAAGTTGCTGAGTTACTGCAGTTACTGCAATGGAGAGAAGGGGCAAAGAACCAAAGATGTCCCAAGTATTTGCGTACAATGTCAGACATGCCCTCAGCAGGCTTCTGTGCCACTGGTGCTGCTTGACTGTAACTCACTGCCCCAGTACATGGTGTATTCCTTTTGTCGACCTGGTGCTTCTGCATTTTTTTTCTTTTCATTTTTTTCCTTTGCCTTTCATTCTTCCTGATATGAAACAGAACTTTATCATCAACACTAATAAGCTTTCTCTTCCCCTTCTTCACGGCAGCAGTTGCGATTCTTGCAGCATCAAATGGCTATGGCAGCGGCAGCAGTACAAGCAGCTCACCTGCGTCATCAACAGCGTTCAGGCAGCCACTCAAAAAGTAAAAGGAAAAGAGGCACACCAGCCCCTCCAAAATCCTGAGACTTGTTTTCCCCCCGCCTACCCAACTAAAAACCTGATTTAAAGGGGATTTTTTTTCAGATTTAAAACCAGAAAGTTTCAAAACAAATCAGTGTTTTACATGACTGGTGGGAAAATGAAATTGACTTGACACTGAAATAGAACTGTTGTTGGATGCCAGCCCTGCAGAATCTAGAGACTTCATCTATTAAAGCAGCTAGGGTCTGGTTTCCTTAAGTCACTTTTTTAACAGAACTTTATCTTTTATTTTTTACCACTCAGCAGCACTGTACATAGTATAAGGGTGACAAACATTTTAGAAAAAAATGGACTTTGTAAATGTAGTATTGGTATTTGTTTATTTAGTATAAAAGGTTTGTGAACGCTGTAACAAATACAATTTTTATAAATCCATTTTCGAAAAGATCTCGTCTTTTTACTTGGGCTTTATACTTTTTATTACTTTTTCTATCAGCTTCTTTACTTCTTTGTGCCTTGTAATTGCTCTGGTGATACAGTCCTGAAGCTTGGCTCCTGTAAGAGGACTTCCACCTACAAATCAAAGGGAACATTTTGACTTCCTAGTTAAACTTCAGTTAAGTATGTTTAAATGTGTCTTCCAAATGAGACTATTACATAAAACAGTAATTCTCATGACCAGTGACTTTCACCTGGCCTGTACTAGCCTCAGGCAAAGAAAACAGAAACAAACTTGAGGTATAAAGGAGACAGGCCCAGAATCTGTCCTTTGCTTTATGCAGGTCAAGCTGTGACTTTTTTTTTTTTTAACTTAGAATAGACTGTATCAACTGGACACAATGATCATAGGGACCTACAACTTCAGTCATGCCACCTTTTTCAAAATTAATTTCAAGAGCAAGTCATTTCATAAATACACAAGCAATACAGGCTCTTATCTTAAAGCACATGAATGTCACAGATAAAAGCAGCTATGCAACATCTAGATCAAGAAAAGATTATAATCTCCATAGGTTCCTGTGCAATAAACTTGGAAGTACCTGGTTTATGGACAGAACATAGTCTGCCTTCATCGTCAGTTACAACAGTTACTGTTCCAGTTGCTAAGTCTTCTTCTTCGGCAGTTGGATCAACAATGAGTAATGTGCTTGTGAAAGAAAAACATGCAAACACCTTAGTGTATATTGCACCACTAACATTGCAAAGTAAACATTAATTTTACTGTAGTCCTACAAAATATTTATACGTGAGTTTAGTGCTCAACCTTACCAGTTTTCTTATCAAAATGCACAAATTTACAATAAAGAGAAAAAAAAATTAAGTGGCAGACTCCACCTATACAAGTGCATATGTCCGTAACAATACTACCTGTTCAAAATACAGCTTTCTGCCTAAGTTTAATCTATTACTGACATCCACGTATTGCAGGAAAATGCCATTAAACCACTATTTGCAATATGCAGTCACTTATTTCATAGTTACACAAAGAAAATGGCACTGGTTTAGTGTAGATGTAGGCTGCACTAATCTCTAAGGAGACCATGAGGCAGAACTCGCTTCCAATGGTAAATTCCCCGAAGCTCTGGCACCACTCAGGCTGGGAAGAGTTCAAAAGTGAATTTATTGGGTTCCCAAAGGCAGCCAAAATAAGCTGCTGTACATTATGTGATGCAGATCATGAAAAGGGATTCCATGTTGTTATATTTGAACCATTTAGTAAGTTGAAAATAGAGCAAGCTAGTAGAAAAAGAAAAAAAAAAAAAGGGATCTAAACTAGAAGCCAACTTTCCACAAGAAAAGCTTAAGAAGCCAAACAACCACTGTTCAGCTTTAGTGTCTTTAAAATAATAATAAAAAATGCACTACAGTTGCCAATATTTGGCCAAAGTGCAGGTATCGTGACAGGAAAGGTTAGCTGAAGTTTTCATGAAGCCTCAGTTTACACTGTTAAATGTAGTACTGCTGTAATCAAACTCAGCTTAGCAGCTGGGGCACCCCTGTGCTCAGGGATGTTTCCAGTGTGTGGGGGGAAGTCAGCAGCAGGGCTGCAAGAACTGACTACACAAAATAGATGGAACAGTAACAATTTTTCAATTTGAACTCATATGTATAACTGAAGGTTTTCTGGGTAATGTAAAACTTCACCAACAGTTTCAGATTGCCATTTGATAGCAATCATGTAATGAAAACATCAGTCTTTACCTATGCTACTCAAAATTACTGCTTTATTAATTCTACCTTCATGCATGGTGCAGCATCGGCCCTTTCCATGACACAGGGTCCACACACACACACACAAAGAGTCTGGTGCATCATACTGTGTGCAGCTTGACTCCACAGCTATGGAGCTGCACAGTGCTCTGCACCTGTACTCCTCACCCATGGCCACACTATCCAGCAACCCACAAGTTTTAGTTAAGAAGGGTCTGACATAGACGAAAAATGTCTCTGGAAGCCAAGGTATGTAAGTAAACCTGATTTTAAAACAAAACAAAAGCCAAAGCACACAATCCAGGCATACACAGGCACACTCACCCACAATGTTTAGTTGTTAGGAACTAAACAGAGACTTAAGTAACTTGTTTGATGCAACAGTCTGTTTCAGTGAAGGGAACAGAGCCCAACAGACTGTCACTCAAAGCCTTATTCCAAAGGCAACGTTTTTGTCTATTGGTAATATGTGTCATTTGTGTGCAGTCATATCCTACTGACAACTGTTTGTCTCTCATGCAAATTGTCTCGCTTCCAGTCTATGTCAAAATTCAAACCCACAAGAACTGGTATTAAAGCAAGTAACAGAAGCCCTCTGTGGTACCAATGACTTTGTGCTTTGATTCATTTCAGAAATCACTTGGTCAACAGTTGAGTTTAGTGCTCCCTCCTCCACATCTCCTATTTGAATGAAAGGGCCTACTAATAATTTCTGTGAATACAGATTAATGTGCCATATACCCGTGATGTCTCTGAATAGACCAAAATCTTAGATCAGATTCATAGCACAGTAAACATCATCTCATTTGTCATTTTCTACTTTTCAAATGGATACCACCATAATTAACTGCATTTCTTAAAAGCAGAACACATACTTAACATACTTGGAATAATGAAGAGCCAAAAAACAATTTCAGGTAAGGCATCAAGTGATCAGATGGGACTGAGTTGTTATAATCAGACTCTTTACCTACATGAATAATGACTTATGAATGCTGGTCGTACTTCATCTTGGGTAATTATGTTTTCAGTTACTCTGTTATATCAGTCATACATCAATTGTATTGGAAACATTCTCCCGTCTCAAAGATACTGCAAAAATGTAAATCAATACCTAGTCCCATACTTCTAAGCATATCTTTCAGGCTGGGAGCCAGCTCTGCTTTAAGTCACAGGAGGAAGTTGGACAGACTGTTTTGTTCTACCTACTCATTTGTATCACAGAACTACGGGTCAGTACAACAAGACAGGCTGTGAAGTTAAGACCAAGTGAAACAGCACTGCCTGGGACTGCACATTCCTCACTAGCAGAAGTGGGTGAAATGAGCAGGAACATCCCTGGCAGCATCCTCTGTCTTTCAGTTCTTTTACATACAGTTGTTTTTTTAAGTACAAAACAGTTACGAACTTACTCATCAAATATAGCAAATGATGTGGTGACTGGATGGTTTCTGATAATCAAAGGATTCTTCTGTTTGAAATTAACGTCTGATGAACCAGTTTCTTCATTTATAGTAACCGTTGGCAAATGCACTGAAGAGAGGAAAAACAATAGCCTAATATTAGACATTGCGGGCTTTAGTAGGCTGAGAGACATGCAAGACTATTGACGTATTTAAGCTGTTCTTTTACCATATTGGTAAGCCACTGAAAACAGACCAGAGTTTCAGCTACATTACTTGTGTTCTGACAAAAAATGTCATGAATTCAAGGAAGTATGTAGCTTAGAACTACCTATTTGAGAAAGCTTTTTCCTCAAGCTGACATTCTTCCCAACACAGAAGCACTGTCTGCTTCCAAAATGCCATGGAATTAATTACCTCTAGAGTCATACTTGACGAAAAGTACTTTTCCCCAAGAAACCTACTGGACATACAAAAATCAGTGCAATCTGATCTTCAGGTAACTCTTGCTCTGAAAACCCACACAGAAAATCAAGAACAAAGTAGCTATAGGAATTCAAAGGCAAGAAATTCAGTTAGGAAAGAAGGCCTTGTTGTAAGCTTCCCTTTTTACTGCCTCCTATGTGCATTTATAACCCACATACCTGTGAATAACCAATCCATATGTTTCATGCATGAAATCAGGATTTTTTCAAGCTACAATGCATTAAGCTAGAAATTCAAGCTACAAAGTTTAAGCTAGAAATATTCTGTTGTGATAAATAAGCAAAACCCCCAACAACTTATTCTTGTACAAAATACATTAACAATGTAACACCCTGATCTAGCCATTAAACTTGTTTATAACCACTGTTGAAAGATTCAGATCTCTGACAGAGAAGAACACAAGGAAAAAAAGCTATTAGTCTTACAAGAGAGCAATAATACATGTACAAAAAGATCCTATTCCTCAGGTGTTACAATATCTACAGCATCCATACCATCCAACCTGATCTAGTGGGAGGTGTCCCTGTCCATGCAAGGGGGTTGGATCTAGATGATCTTTAAGGTCCCTTTCAACCCTAACCTTTCTGTGATTCTATGATTCCCACTGTATATTTGCATTTTCGGAATTTAGCATTCAAATGTCAGGAAAAAAGCAGACTTAAAGAACTGTGAATCAGTTACCTATTAAGCATGACTCAAAACTAATCTATTTCTCCAAGCACCATTAATCAGAGCACATCTCTTACTCTAGAGAGGACTTACCATTTTTTAATGCTGCTAACAAAGCAAAGGCACTGGCATCCAAAACATTTCCATCATAATCCAGACATATGATATCACAGTATAGCACCCAAGCAAGCTATGAAAAAAGGTTTGCACAGATGAGATATTACAGCAGCTAAGAC